ATAATTGGAAGCGAAATTCGCAATTCTTTAGAATACATTGAAAGAGCCTTACTACATAGATGCTATTTTCAAGTTTTGTGAAATTTTTTTTATCTAGTTTTCTGGAAAGTTTCGAAAAAATCCTTAAGAAACGTCATATCTCGAAAACTACAAGGATTTGAGCAGCCATAAACAGAGGCAACATTTGCAGATTTGCAACCCCTGAGAGTATTCTCAGAGATTCCAATAACAGGATTGAGATCTTCAACATTTTGGAATTTTTTAACATCCATTTATTTTAAATTTCGGAGAAAATCATGAAAAAACTTCGTATCTCGAAAACTACAAGGATTTGAGCTGTAATAATTGGAGGCGAAATTCGCAAATGCTGAGATTACATTGAAAGAGCCTTACTAGATAGATGCTAATTTCACGTTTTTGAAAATTTTTATATCTACGTTCTCTGAAAATTTTTGGAAAAGAATCCTTATAAAACGTCATATCTCAAAAACTACAAGGACTGGGCAGCCATAGTCAGAGGCAAGATTTAAAACCCCTGAGAGTACCCTCACAGATTCCATTAACATGATTGAGATCTTCATCATTTTGGAATTTTGTAACATCCAATTTTTGTTTTATTTTCGGAGAAAACCTTGAAAAAACGTCGTATCTCGGAAACTACAAGGATTTGAGCGGTCATTATTGGAAGCGAAATTCGCAATTCTTGAGATTAAAATGAAAGAACCTTACTACATAGATGCTATTTTCAAGTTTTGTGAAATTTTTTATATCTAGGTTTTCTGAAAATTTTGAAAAAAAAAATCCTTAAAAACGTCATATCTCGAAAGCTACATGGATTTGAGCAGCCATAAACAGAGGCAAAATTTGCAGATTTGCAACCCCTGAGAGTACTCTCAGAGATTCCAATAACAGGATTGAGATCTTCAACATTTTGGATTTTTTTAATTTCAATTTTTTTTTTTAATTTCGGAGAAAATCATGAAAAAATTTCGTATCTCGAAAACTACATGGATTTGAGCAGTCATAATTGGAGGCGAAATTCACAAATCCTGGGAGTGCATTGAAAGAGCCTTACTACATTGATGTTAATTTCAAGTTTTGTGAAATTTTTTATATCCAAGTTTTCTGAAAAATTTGAAAAAAAATCATTAAAAAAACGTCATATCTCGAAAACTACAAGGATTTGAGCAGCCATAAACAGAGGCAACATTTGCAGATTTGCAACCCCTGAGAGTACTCTCAGAGATTCCAATAACAGGATTGAGATCTTCAACATTTTGGATTTTTTTAACTTCAATTTTTTTTTTAATTTCGGAGAAAATCATGAAAAAACTTCGTACCTCGAAAACTACAAGGATTTGAGCAGTCATAATTGGAGGCGAAATTCGCATTTCTTTAGAGTACATTGAAAAAGCCTTACTACATAGATGCTATTTTCAAGTTTCGTGAAATTTGTTATATCTAGGTTTTCTGAAAATTTTGAAAAAAAAATCCTTAAAAAACGTCATATCTCGAAAACTACAAGGATTTGAGCAGCCATAATCAGAGGCACCCTCCTCACAATATCCAACAACACCAGGAATGTGATCTTCAATGTTTTGGAATTTTTTAAAATCTAAGTTTTTGAAAATTTTTTGAAAAATTTTTTTTAAAACGTCATATCTCGAATACTACTAGAATTTGAGAAGTGAGGTTTTTTGGAGGCAAGATTAACTGAGAGTAACCTGACAGCCCTTAACTACACGGTAAGAATTTCCAAAATTGAGAAATTTTGTTAAATTAATTTTTGTAGAAAATTTTGAAAAATCTCGAAAATTGCCTATCTGGTAAACTAAAACGAGTTGGTTATTCATATATGGAGACCAGAATAGCAAAATCTGGGAAAATTCTGACAACATCACACTATTAGGTTGTTAATTTCAAACTTGATGAAATAAACACTGATTTTAAACTGGAAAAACGAGAAAAAAAATCTTGACCATTGCAATATACGATGTAGCTTAAAATTGAAACAATTCTTATGCAAAAACAATACGTTGAAAAAGCCTAAACATGGCGAGATAGTGAAGCCCGCATGTAAATATATTCGTTTAACATGCATAATTATTATGCTTAAACATGCGAGATAGCTCGTATTTAAATATAGTATAGATTACTACTGCGTATATTAATGCTAATATCTGCACATCGAACGGTTTGAAACGTAAAAAAAAACAATGTTGCAAATGAGCTAAAGAACAATTCTTTTCAAACTGTTAAATGATGGGCCATAACGGGTCCCAAGGCAAACTTTCTTTTATTTTTAAAATGCTTGTAAATTGAAACCAATATGAACACTTGATGATTCGAGCTCAGTTACTTCCGCGTGGCGTTCGGGGGAATGTGGCTTATTCAACATTCAACATTGTACAGTTCAAAGGATGACTAATTTTAATTTGAGGAAAACATGGTTTTATCTGAGGAAAGCTTTGATGGTTGTGTAAAAACAGCCCGATCTTCGAAAAAAGGTTTGTGCTCGGGGTTGTTTTTCTTCTCCGATCAATTTTGAAGTCTTACCTAGCCACTACTGACGTTATTTGTACTTGAAAGCGAAGCTTAACTGTAAGTGAAGTTCTAATCCGTCTGAGAAATCTGTCCAAAATGAATTGAGGCATGCTACTTGGTCTATCTAAAACTTTGATGCAGGTCAAATGTATCGCTTGGTACTTAAGGGTGTAGAAGAAAATTTTCAAAAACAACTAAAAAATGAAAAAAAAGTCCAATTTTATTAAAAATTTGATCATTTTTTTTTAAACCGATCACCACTGTACAGACTTTAAAGGGTACTCTCGGAACATTTAAAGTGTCGCGCTGATATAAGCAGTTTTGTTAGATTTAGATTTTAGTTGGATACAAAATTCAATAATTCAGAATTGGGTATAAAAAACTTTGGGGCTCAAAAAATATGTATTTTTTCGTGTTGTTTGATGAGATTTTCTAATAAACATTCTCTGGTGGAGTTGATTTATTTTGAAACATCAGGGAGCCAAAACAAATGTTCATGGATATTGATTTTGATTTTTTAAATTGGATTTTGTTCGTCGTAGTTATATTGAAACGTTCTCTATACTAGTCTTGAGAAGTTCACAAAAAGTTCATCTATTGTTGATTATAATCCACTTTCGAAGAAAGTGACGGAACATTTCTGCTTGGGTAGTTTTTGACTTGTTAACTAGCCATTTCTGACAGCAATTTTTTATACAATCTAAAAGTTGTTAATGTTTTCAGCTCAAATTTAAAAAGATAATTCACGTGTGATCATTTTTTTAAGTTATGGGAATTTAAAGGCCGCCAGTTTGGGACATTTAATGCGCCATATTTTTTGGGCTATTAACGCGTAAGCGGAGGTTGAAATCGTCTTGAAAGTGTTTCAAATTGAATTGAATCATACTATTTAGCCAACTCAACATTACGAGGTCAAACTGTTCATTTGATTATTTGTAAGCGTATTCCGCAACAAGAACGCACTATTTGTTTTTTTTGTTCTTTCATTTCTTTTGATGGATCCCAGAAAATTTCAAAATGTTTATAAAGCTGCCTCTTGGATCCAGGAACATACAAACGCAAAATTGTGCGCCTATTTAGTGCACTGTTTGGCGTCGTAATGAATACATTCCTATGTGCGGTAGACATCACTTCCAAATGTACATTAGGCAATTTTATTTATTTTTTGAAATTTGTATCCGTTTTTTAAATATGAGCTCTAATTCAATGACCTGAAAAATTAGTCGGGACCTTTAGGGCTTTGCCTTGATATCAGAAACATTGCCCTACTTAGTTTTCTAATGCATTTTTGAGCCTTTATTGTCACAGCATTGTGTATAAACTGAGAGGTGTGGTACGGTAACATTTCAAATATCAATTTTGTTGTATTTAGTGGCATTTCTAGAATAGATGGTATTCCAGCTTCAATTTTTTCTAACTTAAAATAATTTTGTCTATTTCCATTAACTTGACTTCAGTTGCCTCCAGATTATTGTTTTACGGAAAGGGAAAACTCATGGCAAATCGGGCTTGCATGTCGGGCATTGTAAATCACGGTAAACTAGTGGATTTGTAGCACTGTCGAAATCGGGCTAAAACTAGGGCTACCTCAAATGGTTGCTTCTGTCTTATAACAACGCCTGTCGTCTCGCTATCGTCTCAATATCTCGTGCTGACCAGATGTGTTAGTGCATCTTCGTACCTAAATGTCAAGTATTCGTGGTACTCTTGGTTTTTTAGAAACAAGGGTTTGCTAATTTAAAGTTGTTCCAATCTGCTAGAAAAAAGTTTGACCAGATAAATTGATCGGATAACACTCCTTTATTAATGGAGTATGATTGGTACGTAAGAACACTTAAAAGAAGCATAATCCAATTTAAGTCTTATCAAAAGCTAGATGTTGAGTCTAAGTGAAGTTGTAATTAGGTTGCAATAACCAACTTTAAATAAACAATAAAATATCAGCATATTGCTGTTTTGTTCGATCCGGTCATTTTTTAATTGAAGATTTAGTTTAAAGCAATGCGTACATTGTTCGTTTCCGGTTTCCGACCAATCTTAATTGATCGATAATAACTTTTTTGCAAACATGTTCCAAGTATATAGTGTTGACGGAAATGATTGTTTTTATCGGTAAAAAAAAGAGAGAAAAGCAGAGTGCACAACGATTCATGTCGGCAAGATCCAAAAAAAAAATTCATTTCGGTCTAGGCTCTGAGCCCTTTTTTATCGAAGTCTTAAACTCGACCAGTCAATTTCAATTGATAAATAAACTCAAATCTTGTGCTTCATATATCTTGCTTGCATTCTAAGTGGGATCAAAAAAGTACTTGGATACAAAAGTATGAATTCCAAATAAAGTTTACAACATCTATTAGTAGCGGATTTAGTATAGGTGATGGGGCGCGGGAGGGGGGGGGGTATTTGGGTGGACTTTTTTCTTCAGGGATTCGATTTAAGACCCTAAAATTTATCTTAAGATGCCACTGTATACTACTTTTTAGCCTGTCTTTTTTCAGAAATTTGCCTGCAGCTCACAAAATTTGGCCAAAATAGAATAGGGTTTTTATAGTGATTTGCGAGAGCTCAGAAATCAATTTGGTTGACCTTAAAAAAAAGGTCAACAAAATTTCCAACATTTTTTGAAAACTCCCCCTCGAAAAAATCATAGATTCGCCCCCGGCATCTATGGATAGCAGCAATAACTGTAGTATAAAGAATAATGAAATTTGGCAAAGCCAGAAGTCTGAATCGTTTTTCAGCAGTCTTCGTTTTCTCGTTGTTCTAACTGCCTCATTGAGACTTCGGCGTCCTTTTCTTCCGACTGGTTTCCCCGACAGCATCCAAAATTATCTCGGATGTAGGTGTCGGCTTCTAACATTGAATCCGAAAGGGTGAGACCTTGCGTCTCTGGATAAATGAAACACGAGAGCCCTGAAGTACATTTCTATTTTATTTTTCGAGGTAAAAAAAGATTTTTCGAGGTACAAAAGTTGGCGTGGAAAAAAAAATAATCGAACCAGAGTGAAAAGTTCGTCCACCCAAAAAAATGTCAAAATTTTTTTACCTTTGTCTTGTTTTTGTCTTGAATAAAGTTCCCTCCAACAAAAAGCAATTTTTGAATAGAATGGGCATTTAAAATGTAGACAGGCTCAAAAAATTGACAAAAGAACAGACTTTCAGTCATCCTGTAAACAAAACTGTTTACGGGGGGAAATTATTGTACCGTTTGCAACATCGTTGCTAATCGCAAGGGTGATAATATCCATATTTTGCAAATCAGTCCTAGAATTTTCTATAAACGTGCCTTTTGGTAATAATAACTAATTAAGAATTCCCAGAAAGTGACCCAAATAGAATTTTTGATACGTCCTCTTAAAACTTTTTGGGCAAATGTGGTCTTTTTTTGTATTTTAGAGTTTGAAAAATCGTGAGGAGTTGATAAAATGTCCTAGAACACCCTCGCAAAAACGTTAGATTAGCTCATGATAATGAGCAATTTTTGAATGCGTTACTTTTAATCCCAATTTCAACCAATTTGAATGCAACATATCAAAGTTCTTCAAAGTTTGTAAATTTTCTAAAGTTTGCTTCACTTCGTTCAAATAGTTTAAATACGTACCGTACCGTGAACGCAAAACAATAAGTGCTAATTTCTCTCACCGGCTACAAAAGTGATGGCCATAATGAGGAAATGAGGCGCATTTGTATTCCATCGTCCTATAGTGGTGAACTGGGCAGACACTATTCCCCCTATCCTGCTCCAGGTGCTGGTGGTGCCAGAGATGATCACTCGCACTGGAGTGGGAGGGTACTCTGCCATGATTAGTCCCAGGATGTCCCAAGACCACGAGATGAAGGATCTGCCCAACATGCCGACCACCATCAGTGCCGTCGAACCTTCCTTGCCTGAAGAGTTCAAAAAGTTTTCAGAATCAGGCTGTACATAACAGTAGTTTTTTCGTTTTTATGTTTCCAAATATTGTTTTTCTTTGAATGTGCTCCGAACGAAGGAAACAAGAACAAAGAAAAATTGATGCAAAAGAATGCGAAAATTAAGTTTGAAAAATCTTTGGTTTCAAGTTTATTTTTTCCGCGCAAATCCAAAGGTACCAGAAATAAATGTCACATGAGGTCGAGCGAATTATCATTTTAAAGCTCTTTCTGTCTTTATTCGAGCTGCAAATTTTTTTAAAATATATATTCTAATTGTAGAGAGAAAAAAAATTTTCGTTTCAGACCAATTTTTAGCAAAAAGCTGATTGAAAAATACAAAAGACGAAGTGAGGAAGAGTATTAAGATGCTTTTCATGAAGTTAGCTGTTAACTTAGCGTCTCCTCCTTTCCCCGTGCAAACAATGGCTAAAAACTCTAGAAAATGTCTGAAAAATAATTGTTTTTGCAAAGAAAACGATCATAAGAACATTCTCCGCTACTTGCATAACAAATTAAAATGGGGGGGGGGGGGGGGGGCAGGAACAATTGCATATGGTTGCATTTTCCCTGTTCTGTTTAGGTAGATCAAGGAAAATTCGCATGGGGTTAAGGATGGGTTTAGACTAGGATTTCGATTCCTCGAAAAACGCAAATATAGATTATCACTGTGTCGATAAAAATTTGTCTAACTTTTCCGTTTTTCAGATTATTTTACACCAAGGATTGTGTGCACAGAGGAATTACTTTTTCTAATTCGACAGTAGTATTTAAGATGTTCTTGGCTGCAATCAATTTTCCCACTATCCCAGTATGACTATGATTTCAATTTTCAATTGCATAACTTAGGTAACTACGGTCGAAAAATTCTGATCAACTTTTTAGAACAAACGGCAGATAAAATTTTTCTTCTACCCAGCAGATAAAATTGGTGTGTTTTTGACGTTTTTTGATTGCCAAAAGAAAGCTAGTTGGATTCAAGTGCGGTATCATATTAAAGCCCTTTTCAACCAAAAAAAAGATCTTTCATATTGGACAATTTCAAATTGAAGTTACAATTTCAATATTCCAGTTTTTGTCTCAAAACTTGAGGTATCATTAACTCAACCTTTGGCTCATTTACCAACGTGTTTTTTCCGGACTTCGAGTTCCACAAAAAAGCCCACAAGGAGCCAAACTAATTATCATTCAGAAGCCTTCTTAGTCCAAAAATAAAAACAATTTGCCCTTGCCGCAGTGCTGAGAAAAATTGGCCTGACTTGATCCGTTTTTCAGAAAAATTTACTTGTCTAAAAACAAGAATGTGATAATAATTTAAGAAAGAGTCAGCTTAATTTTTGCAATACTGAATTTTTCTTCAATGAAACCCCCTACCGCCGATTTCACAAAAAAAAGAACAATTTTACAGAAATTCAAAAAGAAAAATTGAAATTTGCTTATTCTTTTATTCATTTTTGTTTATGCTTATCACTTATAAATTTAGCTTAACAATTATTCACTTATATTTATGTGATCGGAACATAATGTGCTATTTGCGCAGCAACCAGTTTTACTGTTGTTCCAATTCACACCCTGAAAAGTAATGGGAAAGATTTACCCGCACCGGAGTTCCATGGATAATAAGCGATTATAATGAATTTTTATTGTCTGTCTCAATAAATTTTGAAAATAAGCGATCATAATTGATTAAAAATAGATTATAATGATACTGTTTTTCTAATCAATAAAATCCGAAAATAATCGATTATAATTGACTATAATTCATTATTTTTGAAGAGAATGAAACTTATTTTCGTTGCAAAGTAATCCTTTTTAATCGAATATAATCGATTGTAATTGCGCTTGCTTTATTAGATTGACTTTCAGAATAACTGTTACCAATGTTAGTAACCTGATTCGGATTAAGTTCTCTTTAATTTGTTTTTATTTAATCAACTGTTTTTTCACATGTTTCTATTTCAAATTTTCGAATTTTTTTGAAATTGTGCGACCTCAAAATTAACCATTCTTAAGGAAACTAGAAACAAAAGCCCAAAGAACGACAAAATATGACTAATTAATTTCGTAGTTATATATTTTACTCTGGAACGTTTAACCCCCTGGAACGTTTATCCCTCAATTCGTGACTGACCTAGTTTATCCTTCTAGTTAATCAGCCATTGACTTTCTCGGAAATTATTACTTGAATTTATTGGTCGGGGCTGGCAGCTAATACGGTAAATGGCTTTCGCAAACAAAGAAGACTTGTTAAAATCATAGATTTGAATTCTACTTTACTGGGGGCTTGAATTATGCATCCTATAAAGTTTTCCAGAATTCTTTTTTGTTTGTTAAAACCATAGGAGGTTTTTTGCTTTAAATATCTATACAACTTCCATTTGGGGCCTCATGTGGAATCAATTAGAGTTATTTCACATGTTGCTTTAATAGGAATTCCGAAAAAGTCACCAAAATAGCTTTTTTGATATATTCTATTCAAAAAATTTTGGCAAACGTGATCATTTTTGTTTAGTCTCTTTTGTTTGTTTAATAATTAATTGATCCTTTAGCTCTTTTTTATTCCCTTTTCGTTTCATCCACTACTGTAACTAAAAAATTGACCTGAAACAATCACAGTATTTCGATTTTTTTCAAAGAAAAACTTGTAAATTTTGCAAGCTTTATAATTTTTTTTTGTATTTTTATATTTCAATAATTAAATAGGCGTTATCATAACAATCTATGCGTCATTCGATTGGTCCTATCACCCTCGTTGAATTAAATATGGCGTAGGTTTGTTGTTCGCTATTTTTCCCACCTCAAAAAAATTCATATAGAGTCAAGTTTTGTATCATAGTAGAGCATTTTCAGCCGTGACTCACATTCTAAAATAAAACATTAAATTGTCTCAGTGTCAACAAGAAATGGTAAATTTTTGCCGTCTTTGAGTCTAACTTACGTGTCTAAGGAATGAAAACGGAAGAAAAACGGGTGAGAGAGTCCAAATCTAATTAACTCATCTCAACAACAAAACTTTCAGATTTTTGCTAGAATTTTGACTGTCAATTTAAGATTTAACTATGTTGCCGATAATTTGTTGATTTTTACCCATGGCAACAAGTGCGGCTGCGACTCCGCAGCAGACTGTGACTGTCCAGGTGAGGAAAATGGCAAAGGGACGTCTGCCGACCTTGTCTGCCACGAACAGTACCACGAATCGACCTCCGATCTCCATTGCACCGCCGTAGATCAAGTTCTCATACTAAATAATTACACAGCACATCAAATGGCATGAAAATATATGTCACTAAAAATATAATTGTACAAACAATTGAAAATTGGGAGATGTTTACGCTCACAAAATCAATAGCCCCTCTCGTGAGGCGAGAATTCGTAACAAGCGACAATTCGTAACAGTAGATTCACGCGCAGTATTCCTCTCGTGCCTGATGTAAAAGAAGCCGAGCAAGTGTATCATACTTGCCGATGCCTTGTCACGAATTATCGCCTGCTCCGAATTGTCGCTTGTTCCGAATTGTCGCCCTACCATTCCCTCTGTCGTAGTAATAATAATATGCACTCCTTCAATGAAAAAAAAAATGATTTTTGAAAGTTTCGAAAACATGGATTTAAAGAACCTGTATAAACTCATTACAAAGTGCAAAACTCGCATATGCTTGGCCTTTGAATTAGTCATTCATAGGGGATAGTATCCTTTAAAGTATTTGAAAACAGACTATATGGTCTAATGACGTTCTCTCAGGTTTGAAAGTGAGTACAAATAAATTGTTTTTTCCTTGTAAACTCTATTTTCCTTGTACGCTATTTATGATCATTATTTTAGAAAGTGCACTAGGGAGGAGAGGATCTGCCATAGTTACATTTTAGGACAAACGAAAGGATAAAAACGGACCACACTGCCTCCCACATCGCCGACCATGAGTGACCATCCGTAGTAGCACATAGTGACTGAGAACCAGTTGAACCAGGTGACCACAGTGGCCATGAGGATGTATTTGTGCTTGAACAGCTCCGTGATTCCGGCTGACTCCTTCGGTTTGCGCTGTGCCTCACTCACAGCGTCCTCTGCTTTCACTCGCTTCGAGCGGCGATTATCCTCCTCCATTCCCCTGAAACAACCGACCAATCATCGACACATTTCACATTTCTCCGACACCTCTGTCACAATCCGTAGCTCATTTATCCTAAAATAAGCAAACGAAAAGAAATTCCAAATTCGAAATGATATAAAGTACCAGAAACTATGGGATCGGCTGTATTATGCCCTTGCTACCTGCTTTTTGGTATCTTTTGGTCATACATAACGGAGGCAATTTTAGTTTGCTTCTCTTATTTCTTCGACAAAGTTTTTAAATACCGTTTGCGTTATCAACTTGAATATTGAATGGTTTTTGCCCATTTCGAACATGGAACTGATTTGCTTGAACCCTTCTGGACTAACATGAGGGTGGCCAGTTCGGACATTCCGATTGGCTCGTTCCTATTCCACTTGGCGATTTTGTTCAGGGACCTCATGGCTGCCTTCCTCTTCCCCATCACCCATAGCCACCGCGGGGACTCCGGAAGGATGAGGGTCACTGAAAATAAGATCATTCTTTACTTTTTAAGCTATGTTTTCCTGGTTTTGCAAACAGTACTAATATCTCCCTAAAATGATTTATTCGTAAAATCGCTCAGAGTTGGAGAAGGATTTCCATCACAATTTCTCTCCTATGGAACCTGTGGAAGCTTATGTTCACCCCATATAAATTGCAGAATTCAACCTACGATTGAAGCGAATCCCCCTCTAAACATACGAAATGATTCAATGACACTGGAAACTTATCAGTTTGACAACAAGTTTTTGACTTTTTCTCCTTTTTTCTTTTGATTGGTGTTAGTGACACTTTTTTCTGACTGCTTTGGTCAATCAGAAAAAAAAGAGCTTCATTCGACAAAATAGCTCAGTCTGGAATGTGAAAATAAGAGAAGCGAACTATGCTTATACAGACTGCATTGCCGTTCATAGATTCTCTGCAAATCGCAGAAACCACAATTATTTTTTAAAAATTATTTTTTTGATTTTTTATATTAAACTAAATTAGTGAGAAAAGACGGTTTCGAGGTGTTAATTTTGATCCTGTTTAATAAGTAACCGTAGTTCAGAAAGTTAGTTGGGGACAATAAAATAGCTGTCATCCGAAGGTGACAGACAAACTCCGAAGGTTAAATACCAGTTAGCGCCAGACAGATAAATGAATTAAGTAGCACAACTAGAAATGGAACTTGAACTAAATTTAGATAACATGACATTTCCCTCCTTGTAAAAATTAATGACTTTAATCACGTATCCAATGCATCGATGTTAACAGTAATCAATAGGGTTAATGACAAGTTTTGTGAATCAACTACAACACCTTTAAAACACAAACTTTTGAGTTTTTGCCGTTTCGCAGCATGCCCTCTCCCTGGACGTACATATGACAGTTTTGTAAATTGTTTATATAAGTTTGTTACTCATACTTCTTTTTCTCCTCCTTTTCATTTGGCTCCTGACTTATCCGTCTTTTGGATATTATCGATCATGACTGCCCCCATCTTAGTTACTGCGGTTCGTTTTCTTCCTGACCGTCTAGAACTAGTTTCATCCAGTGAACTAGCTGAATCCTGACTTGAGTAGGAAACAAGTCGTTGTTTCCGACCCCGCTTTTTCTCTTTGGTTTCTGGAATTTCTGGAATATGCTCCGCCTCGAGTTCCGTCTCCTGTGGTGTGACTCCTCTGGTATCTCCCTTCCTTTGGTTAATTGCGGTTTCCTGCTCGCGTGCGATTGTGTAGTCTGTCGCTGTCTCGTAATTACTAGGTCGAGTCGTTATGATTTCAGATTGTATTTGATCCTGTCCCCCACTAGACGTTCCTTGTCCCTCTTCCCCAAGTTTGTTCCCCCACTTGTCTGTTTTGCTTGCTTCGATGTGATTAGTGGCAACTGATCCTCCGCGAATTCCAAATTTTGGAATCGTGACTTCTTTCCCCTGGTGCTATGGAAAGTTCCCCTGGTGCCTTTGGAGCTGCTTGGCTGGTTACCTCGCGTCAGTAACTTTCTCTTTAGGTCCCCTGGCGTTGGTGGTGCCGCGATTTGTCCCGGTGCCCGTTTCTTTGGAACTTTAGCTTTTTTTAGTGCTACTCCCAATTTTCTAAGCACAGCACCATTACTCATTTCGATAGTATGCTTACTTTGATTAACTATGTCCGAAATTAATGGTCTATACCTACGCTCCCCGGTCCTCTGCATCACCACTGCCGGTGGTATTTCTACTGGGTCACTTGGTGCCCGCACAATTCCAGGCTCGTCATCCTGGTTAGTGGCCTGGTCATCGGCCAATTTCAGGGGTTTTCGCCTATTTTTCAGGTCGTACTCAGTGTCCGATCGGATTCCCCAGTTGGTATCCATAGGCTCCGGCATTGCTTGGGCGATTGGGTCTCGTTCATCTAAACATGCAGATTTAGATCGTATTACATTTTCCCAATTTGGGTTCCGTAAAGTAGGCTTTTTAGTCAAATTTCTGAGAACGGTGTTAGCTTCCCGGCCGTGGTGCGCTTCGAACGGTGTTATGTTGAGGGCGGCGTTTTTAACAAATCTTAAAGCTCCGAGGGCTTTTTCGACCATTCGATCCAAGGGTTCCGGTTTATCCTCCCGCGCATACGTAAGTACTGAATTCTTGATGCTGCCAATCGTGCGTTCGACACATCCTGTTGCCCTATGATCAATCACTGGCGAGATGAGGATTTCAATTCCTTGTTCTTGACAAAATGCCCTAACTTTCATAGACATAAAGTTTGTGCCTTGGTCAACTCGAATTTGGCGCGGAACTCCATGGGCAATTATGTATGCTATTAAAAATTTAATAATTTTATCCGATCGGTTAGAATTACAGACCATAGCTGATGGCCAACGTGAGAACCGATCCACCGCCATCAAAACATACTTTTTAGACTCCTTCAAGTAGTTAATGGGCCCCCAAAAATCCAGTTGTACCGAATCATTCGGTTCCCTTGGCTCAGGTATTTTCCCGATATCATTCTTCGAACACATATTTTTCAAGTTCTTACCCGCTAATGTGCATTCCTGGCAATTTCAGGCAATAGTTGCTAGGTTACGGAACATGTACGGGTACCAGATGTCTTTAGCCGCGTCGTACATACTTGATTTGCCGTGGTGATAATAATGTAACCTATTAGCCACCGCCGCTTGCAAAGTGTTAGGGATTACCAGCCTCTCATCCATCCACAGGCATCCGTCTCTTACGTGAAAGTCCTGCGTATACTGCGCAAAGTACTTACCCAACGCTGCAATTTTTGAGTGTAACTGAGGGTCTTTACATTTAATTAATTCGATAATGGCTTGTAATTGTGGATCTGAATTATATTGTGATTCTATGAATCGAAAATTGAACAATTCGGGAAGAGCGGTTTGTTTACTGACGATTTTGCAATTTCTCGGAATGATGGACATAACTTTATTTTCCGGATTAACCGGTGGATAACTTTCACCAGGGTAAACCGAAGGAATGGAAAAATAGTATTTGTTTTAGTGCTCCGGACTTCTGTTGTAACCGCCTGCATATCCACATCAATCTCCTCTACTTCATCGCTACTACTAATGCTAGGGTGTCGTTCCAATAATTTTCTGATTTTTTTTTCCATGGTTAAATTAAGTTTTGAATTTTGAGTGTTTGTTGTAGAATTTGAAGAAATTTTGAGTGTTTTTGAAGGATTTAAGTAACTAAAGTTAGCTTCAATAATAGTCCCAACTGAATTATTACTAAACTTAATTGACCTGCCGGAAATGCAATTCGTCACTTTGTGATTGGTCCAATTTCCATCGCATGATCGTTCGCCCTCTACCGGTTGTTTCCTATTCGATATATTACAAACGCGTCTATTATTAGTATCCGGTGGAAACTCGAGTCTATTTTTGGAGACAAGTTCCTTTCCAAATCCGAGGGTGGATCTAATTTTGCTAATTTTTGCCACCGTAAACATACTGTCGTAGGTGCTAACCGGTTGAGGTTCCAAACTGGGATGTCTTGATAGATAATCGGCAAGTCCAATTTTTGCTCCGGGTTTATGCTCTACTTGAAAATCGAACGGTATAAGGCGATCTAACCATCTTGTTAATCTGCTGAACATTGTTTTGTTCTTTTTGTTGTTTCCATTTAGCAATGATACTAGTGCCTTATGGTCCGTAACTATTAAAAATTTTCTTCCCAGCACATAGTTGCGAAAATATTCCGCCCCCCACACAACTGCCAGCATTTCTAATTCATTAGTTGAATAATTCTTCTCTGCCTCGTTTAAATACCGGGACGCGAACGATATCGGCCGGCAGCCGTCGGAATTTAGTTGCTCAAGAACCGCTCCGAGCCCGTTATGACTAGCGTCACACACAATTTTTGTGTCCCGGTGTATATCAAAATGCCGAAGTTCTACTATGTTAGCCACTGCTTTTTCAGGTTTTCGAATGATATTTGACATTCATCACTCCAAATATAATCGTTTTTCCGGCTTAATAGTGGGCGCAATGACGCTGATGATTCCGCAAGCGCCGGAAGATATTTGTGCAAGCTGTGAATGGAGCCCACAAAAGATTTAAGTTGTGACACAGTTTTTGGTGCTTTTAGCGATTCGATCGGTTCCGTTTTTCGGACGAGCGGTGTTATTCCGGTACGAGTTATTTTGTGTCCCAACCATTCACACTCTCTCCGCGCAAATTGGCATTTTGTGAGCTTAAGTGACATACTCTCGCGATCCAACTTCCTCAAAATTTTCTCAACTGTCGAGATATGCTCAATCTCCGTACCTTTGGTGACCACCAAAATGTCATCAATAAAAGCATGCGCCTGCGAAAATTCCAAAAGGATTGTATCAATCACTCTTTGAAGTTCCGCTGGCATGGTTGTAAGGCCGTAGAACCCCGTTTGAAAACGATACGTGCCCGTTGATTTTCCTCCCACCAGCGAAAAATTGCATTGCACGCTCGTTTCCGGACTAAGTGGTAATTGAACGTACGCGTACGTAAGGTCCATAGTAGAAAAATATACATCTCCTGGTTTCCGTTCGCTTATCGTTTGTCCTACCGTATCCATAAGCTCTTCTATATTCGGCATTTGGTATTTATTCTTGTGGACTTGCTTGTTCAACTCCCGGGATTCTAACGCTAATTTTACTGATCTGTCCTTTTTCACTGTTATTACAACCGGGGAAACAAAATACTTATCCGAACATTCATTCAGCTTTTCAATGTGTCCTTGTCGTAAAAGTTTATCAATTTCCTTATCGACCTTATCGTGCAATGTGATCGGCACTCTACGTCCTTTTTGTTGAAGTGGCGTTAACGTTTCAAAAAAATCCGCGTGAACCCTATAATTCTTAATTTTTCCGACTCTGTTAAAAAAATTTTCAAATTACTTACTGAAGTAGGTCTGCCAGTGATCTAGTGAATCCTCCACTTCAGTTGTCTCGGCCGCAGATTGATCACTCTGTACCGACATCACATTCTCCTCCGGTGTCTTCTGCACTATCTGTAATCCAAGATTTGGCATTAGGTCTCTCCCAAAAATAGATGGTCTGCTTCCTCCAATCACTCTGATATTCGCGTTGGTCACCCATCCGTTCGTTTCCAACAATACGTCCATTGTTCCTAGTAGTCGTAAGGGGTTGTTTCCGTAATCCCTGAACTCATCGTCCTCCGGTGCTGGTGCCTTTACATTTACGCATGCGGTGCCCAATGTCCGTTTCAATTCCCCAATGGTGAATATTGAAATCGGTGACCCACTATCTATCCAAACGTTTGTTTGCTTTCCATTTACCTTAATTGGCAGTCGGGCGCCGGCCACTTTTATTTCTGTTTCTCTTCGAGATTTGATAGCCATGACAACATAATCTCCTGAGCTATCCGACTCCCACGATTGTTGCTTCTTTATCGGTGTATTAACCCAGCCAACGGAATTCTCATGCTGCGAGTAAGTATCCTCCGCGTCGCCTATTTCACTAGCTTCCATATCCTCCTGATTTTGGATTAGTCCCACTGCCGGTCTTCCCCGATTATTTCGCTTTCCCCTACAAGTCCTCTCGTAGTGTCCCGTTTTTCGGCAGAAGTTACACGTTACATTTTTGGCTGGACAAGTTGTGAGGTGTTCCGGGGTAAAATTGGGTTGGTCACAATTATAGCATCTTCTAGAACCACCCCCTCTCATTTCTGCTCGCCCTCTAAACGATCCACGGCCCCGTTGTCTATTGTTTCTGTATCCTCCTCGGATGGCTCCCAGCGGTTCCGTCTTGATTTGGAACGCTCCAGTTCCACCGGTGGTGCCCCTAGTTGTTGCCCCCCCGTTTATCGATCCGTATGACTTAGCATATTTGTATCCACGTTCATATGAAAGTGCAATACGGTACACCTCCTCTGGTGTCTTAGTCGAGCGACATAACTCTGTTTGAGCCTCCCTATTGTTCATGTTCACAATGAAAACATCCCGCAAAATCCTGGTCTCCAATGCTCCAAAATTACATCGAGCGGCCAGCCCACTCAACACTGAGTGGAACTGTTCCAACGATTCTCCTATTTGTTGCTTCCGTGCCAAAAGTTGGAATGTCTCGTAAGTTTCATTCCGTTCCTTCTTAAATTCTGTTTCAATAGTATCCAATACTCTAGAGTACCTTGTTGTAGATAAATCCAGGTGTGGTTTCCTCTTATGTAGCTCATCTTGTCCTTTCTCCCCCAGACACAAATACAAGTTCGAGATAAGCGTTTGCTCCGACGCCAGGCGATTTTTTCCGTCTACCTCCACTGGTAAATCTGTAACCTGCGCTGCAGTTAACGTACTGGCATAATAGAAATTCTTTGGGTTTATACTATATTTGGCCACCATCCCCCATTGAAAACGATTGAACCAAAACTCCCATAGCATTGGTGGCTCTGCAAACGTTGAGGGCCAAAACGATGTAATCCCCAGCGGGTTTTTCCCCCACTTTGGCCTGTTGGCTGCGCCATGAGAAAAGACGGTTTCGAGGTGTTAATTTTGATCCTGTTTTATAAGTAACCGTAGTTCAGAAAGTTAGTCGGAGACAATAAAATAGCTGTCATCCGAAGGTGACAGACAAACTCCGAAGGTTAAAAACCAGTTAGCGCCAGACAGATAAATGAATTAAGTAGCACAACTAGAAATGGAACTTGAACTAAATTTAGATACCATGACATTAGATATAGTTCATCCAAACCATTTATCATTAAATCAATTCATTGAATTTGTTACAATCCGCTTCAGATTTGTTCTGCGATTATTGTTCCGAATTGGTCTTCGGATATGTTTTAGTTTTTTTTTCATCTCGCAAAGTCAGATGCCACATATAATCACTGGAGTGAGTCGATTGATATAGCATTTTAAAGTTCTTTTCGTTTCGATTCGAACCACTCTTAAATAGTATCAAAAAGTTTTTTCAGTGTCGAGAAAAAAAATTGGTTTGCAATATGATTCTTATTCAAATTTCGAGCGAATAAAGCAAGCGAACAGGCTTATAATAAGCTAAAATAGGCATCTAATAGCAACTGATGAATCAAGTTAAGTCTCGAAAACTTTTGTTTTAAATCTGCAAAATTTATCAGTAAAATTTACATTAAATACACAGTTTCGAAATTTTTTTAGTGCCTTCTTGGAAATAAATATTTAAATGAGAAAAACCATTGTCAAATGCACCTATTTTACTATTATATAGAAATTCTAGGCGTTGGTTCAGATCCTCTCATTGCACCGTGGACCAAAAATTACGTAAATTGAAAAAAAAACTTTGCCCAGATGTTTACTTACCTAGTACAACTGGTATAGTTCCGATGCCCATTGCTACTTCGTAATATATGAAGCTAGGGAAAAGGTAGCCAAATAGAGCCGTGAACAAAACACCTGAACTCCAGCCCTGGATGATGAGAATGTAGTACGAGCTCCTCTTTTCCGTATCCAGGGTCTCAAACAGGAGTGTGAATAGACCATTGTACAGTCCAGGGATGCCCAATCCAACACCTGTTCTACAAACTGTGTAGAGCCAAAAGTTGGGCATGAAAGGAGCTGCTATGGCTGAAATCACGAAAATAGTGGATGAAGAAGTTTATAATTTCAATTTTTTTCTCGTTTTATAGAAACACCTGCTAGTTTTTCAAACACAATACAGTGCTGATTTAAATTATCCAGACCGGACAAAACTAACAAAACTTGAAAATTAAAACGACTTTTTCTCAAATTGGATTAGTTTTAGACAAAAAATGATTAAAAAACTAAAATTGTTTTAATTTTAACTGAATTATTATGGCGTAATTCAGGGACGGATCTAGGATTTTCTCGAAGGAGGGGGCGGATTTTCAAAAAAATTTCAAAATTTTTGTCGACCTTTTTTTAGGTTGACCAAATAGATTTTCGGAGCTCTCCAAAGCAGTACAAAGACCCTTTTTTTTGCCAAAATTTTGAAAAAACTGGCCAAAAAGGGCATTTTTACGCAATTTTTGGAAAATTTTAACCAAAAAATTGCGTTTTTTTGGCGCGCACTCACCCCTGAAAATTAATATATATTAGCGCCAAAGTCAGCCAAAAATGGATATCTCAAAATAGTTAAATAGTACACAAGGGGGACTCTTTGGGTCGGCATGGGGTCGAATTCCTGAAGGGAAGGGCGTCCTTTGTATAAAAAACTTCTCAACTTTGTAAAAAAAAATTTATTTGATAGCCAAAAAATGTCTGATAGCAAAAAAATGTCTGATAGCCAAAAAATGTCATTTTTACTATTTAAAACTCCAATTTTTTATATAAGAACTATTTTGAACGTTTTACGCCTATTGTCGGAGATTACACCGTTCTTAAATATTAAACTTTGCTGGGCTACATAAGAGGCCTGCTGTGATATAATTTGGTCAGAAATTGAACTTATAATTTTGGTGTAACTACAGAAAGCAAAAAAATGATAAATTTTTGCGTAAAATTTGAGCTGCGAATTACGCAGAACAAATAATACCATTTTACTTCTGCTAAAATTCTAGGCAAGATTGGTCCTAATCATTTTTTGTCTAAAATCAACCCAATGTGAGAAAAACGCGTTTTAAAATTCAAGTTTCAATTGTTTTGTCCGGATAATTTAAAATCAGCATTGTACTACTGAAAACAATAACCAATAGAAAGGCCTCCAGCTACATAAGTAGCACTGAATGTTTGTCAATTTTACCTTTATATATATATTATACTGTGCTGATTTAAATTAACTGGACAAAATGAACAAAACTTGAATTTTCAAACACGTTTTTCTCAAAATGGGTGAAAATTAGACAAAAAGTGAGGAGATCAAAATTTGCTTAGAGTTTCATGAGAATTATTATGGTGTAATTCTTTCTCCGAAACTCTCGACCAACATTTTACCCCAAAAATAGGTCATTTTGGCTTTTTTGAAATAATGAAGAATTACGCTGGAACAAATTTGTTAATTGATAAGGAAAAAAAATCACAAGCAGCCTCATACACAGCCCTACAAAGTTTAATAGAGATTAAATCTCCAAAAATTTGCGCAAATTGTTTAAAATTTGTTTTTAAGCAAAGATTCTGGGTTTTATATAGTAAAAATCAAATTTGTTGACTATCAAGTAATTTTGTTTGTCCGGATAATTTAAATCAGCACTATAGATCAATCTAAAAACTAGAAATTTTTTTAGACTGTGGTTCTTAAATAAAAGATTCCGTTGATATAATTGGCGCCTTTGTAATTCATATTCTTCCGGTAATAAATATTTTAAGCAAGCGTAGAAATTGGATCTTTACGCTACTTTTTTATACACTTTCTGAGCTTTGCCCTAGCGTATGTTTGCACATATTTTAGTAAAAAAGCGCTCCATTTTTTACGTTACTGAATTTATTTATTGTAAATAGAAGCCCAGCCTAAAACATTCGTGATCATACCAAAAATTGAAGCCATAACTAATTCAAGTGCAATTATTGTTCCGATTTTCGATACGAAAGTAACGGAATATTTGTGCTCGGGGTGGGTTTTTTTTTCTTCAGACAAATTTCGACTTTTTAACTAGCCGTTTTTGACGGAATTTTTTTATATCATTCAAAAGGTATTGTTGTCCTGAGCTTGAATTTGAAAAAATATTTTACCTGTGATCATTTTTCGTAAAGTTATGAGGGTTTAAAGATTGCCATTTTGGCCATTTTGACCAATTTGGGACAATTAACGCGCGATATAATTCGCGCTATTAACGCGTAAGCGGAGATTTAATCCGTCTTATAAATCGTTCCAAATTGGTTGAACGAAGCTTATTTGCCATAATTGATGTGTTACAAGGAAGAAAAACTATCTTTTTGTACTTTATATGGCGTGTGGGGGGATGATTTTCATAAAAATTTCAATATTTAGAAAAAAAATTTTCATTTTATTTTATTTCATATGTTTTTATGTTATTACTGCTGCTCCATAAACCTTCAAAGCAGTCGGAACATTCAGGGCTTCGCCCTGATACGAGCAGTCTTGTTTTATTCGTGCTTGATGTAAGCGCAGTGGAGCGAAACAGATAAATCTTTCGACAAAACTTTTCAGTAGCCGTGATTAGGGTTTCACAAAAACATTGAAAAACTTTCAGTCTTCTTGGGTTTTCTCAAGAAAGCTGTCTCAGTGTCAGGAACAACTGGTCTGCATCAGCAATGTTGAAAAATGTTTCTCCTGGGGGAGCACAAGCGGAGAATAGAAATCAGGTTCACTACCTTCTGTTACATATGTCTGCCGTACTATTATACTATAATATGTTTTATACTCACTCTTATGTAGGAAAGCGAATGAAACATCAAAAACAAAATTCAAATTCTTAACTTGCATGAAAATTTTTTTTATCAATTGCCGCGGTGAAAACTTTTGCGTTTCTTGCACGGCAACTTGAGTGATTTTCTCAACCATAGAAATTTTCAAATTAAGTTCAGATAACTAATTTAGGCCAGCTAAAACAATTCTAAACTCACCTGAGGCATTTTATCACAAAAAACTGATTTCATTTCGATTAACTGGAAATATATCCCTTATTCACGCGTTTAAAAGAGAGAGTGAGAGCCATATAGTTCAATTTAGACATATAGAGCAATTTTTATTGAAACAAAGAGTGAACATAATCTTGACATTTCTACAGGAAAACCCAACGCTCGACTAGTTTTAAAAACATCAAGAGCATCTGAGCATTATTTCACGCCACCAGTGCAACCCCTCTCCAGCGCATTTTAGCCCAAAACAGCTCTTTTTCTCAAAAAGTACCGTATTATTTGTATTATAGACACAAAATTGCAGAACTTTGTGCTAATTTACAAAAAAAAAATTTGAATGGCTTTTTTTCGCGCAATGACAAAAGTCAGCTAAAAATTCTTTGATTTTTTTATTAATGTATTTTTGAATTAAAAATTTGTTCCTGGATACTTTGATTTGCTTATTGACTTAAATCTAAAATGCATCAGCTGTTTATCCTTTTTTTTCCGCAAATTATTGTCAATCAAAAGTCTGATGTTTACCGACGCTATGGTTCCGAATCTTTCCAAGTAAGTTACTTTTTGAATATAATAATTGGTTTTAAAAAAGCTTATATTGTAGTGAGCTTAACTGATTTTAGAATCAAAAATTGTGGAACTACAAGGTCTGGAAATAAATTAATATTTAGTCAATTAAAACTGAAATGGATCGGAAAACGAAAAAAATAGCGTTTAATTCAAAAAATTTTTTGACAACTGAAACGAACCGCAAACTGTCATGAGCGACGTAGAGAACAGTCCGAGAGGTTTACGCCCATAATGATCCGCAAACACTCCTCCGACAGCACCGGCACATGCCAGTCCAATGAAGAAGAATGTGTTGCCCAATTCACCCAAGTACTCCCTTTCACAGAAAAGGTTGAAGTGGTTTCGAATGGTGTAGCTACCTTCCACCTCCGGTACAGATTCGTAAAATGAGGGGCAGTTGTCGCAGTAGTTCTCGTCATCTAAAACAATGATAAAAAGTTATAAAACAATGATACAATTACAAAATTCTGACGGCAAGTTACACTGGATGAAAATGAACAAAAGTGGAATTGATACGTTTTTATTGCAACAGAGTAATATAATACTGTTAATGCAATCGATATGCTTAGTTCATTGGCCAGCAAATTGACCAGAAAATTGGCCAGTCTTCAAAATTTATGAGAATGTTTGATTGAAAATAGATCTTAGGGTAAGTGGCAGGAAATTTTTAAAAATAATTTATAATTTTATAATTTTAGATTGTCTCAACTTACGCATTCATGCTTTTTCATCACAATTAAGAATAACCAGTGACATTATTATAAAAAAAATGTTTTCAGTATAGGTTCACCTTGATCGATATAAATTATAAAATGATCACTTAACAGAACCAACCCGCATCCAAGTTTAAGCGTAAAGAATCGATTATAAAGGGTTATTATGATGATTTTTTGACAATTATAATTGATTATAATTACCAAAATTAGGTGTTTAAAGGATTTATAATTGATTATAATTGTGATATTTTCCAAGAGATTATAATCTCTTACAATCAATCAGGGGCGGATTTAGGGGGGGGGGCGGGGGGGGCGGACGCCCCCCCCCCTCAGGGATTCGACCACCTGCCGACCCAAAGGGTCCCCCCTTTGGTACTTTTTAAGAAATCAAATTTTTGCCGACCGACCCTAAAATTTTTCTAAAGGCGCCTTCGGCGCCAATATATACTAGCTTTGAGGGGGAGCGCGCGCCAAAAAAACGCGATTTTTTTCGTCAAAATTTTTCAAAAAGTGCCTAAAAACGCCTTTTTTGACCTGTTTTTTCAAAAATTTGCCTGCGGCGCAAACAATTTGACCAAAATAGGGACAAAACTGTCAAAACTGTGCTTTGGGAGAGCTCGAAAAATCAATTTGGTCGACCTAAAAAAAAAAAAAAGGTCGTCAAAATTTTCGAAAATTTTTTGAAAATCCGCCCCCCCCCCTCGAGAAAATCCTAGATCCGCCCCTGCAATCAATTATAATTGATTATAAATCGTACAAAAAACCCTTAAAATCAATTATAATCGATTATAATCGATTATAATTGATTATAATCTCTTATTTTGCCAAATTTTTTTCAATTCAAAACAATATTCGAATTATGTCTTATGGGCAATTATTTTTGTGTCAATAAGAAAATCTTTAGAATAGAGATCAATTGAACACTTTGGTTTATCTGAACACAAAGTTTTACCACAAAACAAAAGTTTCATAGAGATCTTTTCATATTAGTGGAAAGATTCCCGCGGTAGATGAAAACTAAATCTTCCGTATCAATCATGAAACTGAATCAATTTGCTGATCTTTGGTGGTTAAAAAATTTAAAATATGCATCACAAAACAATTTTGGGGAAGAAATGAAAAAAAAACTTATAAATTTGAATTGATTGGAAGTTTTTAAAATCATTTTTTCTCAAATTTCATAGGAACCAAGGTCTACAAAAAGCATAAAATGTGTAAAACTAATGAATTAGAAACTTGAATAAAAATAATAGATTATAATCAATTATAATTGATTATTATTGTATCGAAAAACAAACGCATAAATAATCGACTATAATTGATTAAAATGTATTATAATTAATTATAATTTCATTTCAAAAAGAGAGATTATAATCGATTATAATTCTCACTTTTAGCAAGACTGGTCTAAAATCGTAATATAATCAATTAGTAACGCTTGAAACTGGATGCAAGCAGTCTGGAAGATCGTCATTAGGCAAGTTATGTCTATTTTCAGTCATATCTGAGAAAAAAATTGTTTTAATTGAGATGGTGATATAACGCCACATTTTTTTTGGTAATATACTCAATTCTTAAAACTAAAGAAAGTAACAAAATATCTAGTTAGCAATATGAGAAAGAATTCAAACGTTCGATGTGACAAAAATTTAAACATTGGAGGAATCCGATAAAATGAGAAAAGATTAGAATTTTACTTATATTAATTCATTATTTCCTATTATTGTAATCTCTAGAAACCAGTGGAAAAAGTGTTAATTTCATTCTGTGTCTTCATTCAACCATTTCAAAAAGTCGGAAAAAGATTTGTGAGACAGTTAGGGAATTTTTGAGTTCTAGTAACAATTGAAATGGTGTTTTTTAGAGCTGATCACTAATCCTATATACAGAAGTGGATCTAAGATTTTCCTATAGAGAGCCAGATCTAGGACTTCGCCGAGGAGGGCAGACTGGCGTGCTAAGGGGAGGGGGTCTACGCCCTGAATCATCTTGCTGTGATTGCTCATTCATCAACAGTTTGTCTCGTATTGCCTAAATTTACTACATCTTATTTTTACTCTTTTAACCTTAGTTACTTGTTTAAAAATATCGAAGTTTACTATTATGATAACGCTCCTGTCTTTATGTAATCATAAAATAAGAGACATCTATGTTTGTGACAACGAATTTTTATAAGTTTCCATCCCTTTGTTATAAATTTTTTGGTCATCTTACTTTAAATGCTAAATAATACCTAAGAAACGATTTGTATGTTGGTTTTTTTTTCTTAATTTTTGAAACATTTGCCTTTCTTTTTGAGTACTGTCAATATGATTTAAATAATTAAAGTAGGCGAATCGATTTTGCTGATAGAGATGCCACCCAACCACTTGATGCAGGGGCGGATCTGGATTTTGTCGAAGGGGGAGCGGATTTTTGTCCACCTTTTTTTTAAGTCAACCAAATTGATTTTCTGAGCTCTTCGAAGTTAGTATAAAGACCGCATTTCGACAAATTTTTCTGCGCTGAAGGCGTTTGTAGGATTTTTTGGAAAAATTTCACCAAAAAAATTGCGTTTTTTTGGCGCGCGCTCCCCCTCAAAATTGGTACATTTTGGCCCCCAAGGCGCCTTTAGAAAAAAAAAAATTTAGGGTCTGTCAGCCAAAAATAAATATCTCAAAATAGTACAAAGGGGGGCCTTTGGGTACGCAGAGGGTTCGCCCCCACCAGCCCCCCCCCCCTAAATCCGATGGTGGCCTGATGCCTGTTTGCCTCAAGCCGAACTAAATTGTAAACGTACCTTTTCATAGAATGTATGGTTGTAAGTTTTTGGCTTCAAAATAAAAATAATAATCATAATAATCATAATCATAATAACTTGTTTCATTATCAAGTTACTTTTTACCCGTTTACAAATATATCGATTTAGAGGATGCCATAAGGCTGGAGGAGCCTGATTTTTTCGGGCGCTTTATTTAAATAACTTGTTGCAAAGTTTTCAAACACGATTTGAGCAGTTCAAGAGTTTTATAGACCCGCTCCTAGTTTCGTTTTGTTTCCAAATTTTCAAGCTAATTGTAGTTTCCGCAACTTGACTTTGAGCAACATATCTCTTTTCACAGTCTCATACTTGCCCACTAATGTGCCGTTTCCGTAGTTGCACTTCATGGGGTACATCTTGAGGGTGAAAATAGAGGCAAGGTTTTGCATCAGGGGCACAATGCACGCGAATGCTCCGAAAATTGTGAATGCCCTCTGGTAGAGCCCATCACTTCCCACCCTCTGCAGAGCATCTTCAAAGCCCATTCTTTGATTAAGAGAAGTATCAACAAAATTATCTCAACTAAACAAACAAATAATACAGTTAAATAATAATAAAGTTACTTTCACGGTCACAGAAAGTTTATTTTTGGTCGCAACTATTCAAAAATAGTTTTAATAGTTTTTGCATTTCCATCATAGCATAAAAAATCAGTACAAGACTGCTCGTAGCATGCAGAGCTCTGAATGTTTTGACTGCATTTTAGGTTTTATGAAATAGTCTTCGCTTTGAAATTTTTTTAAAATTTTTTTAAGGGACAAACATATTTGTGTTTATTAGGGTTGTAAATATGCAGAACGTCGATTTCTTAACAATTTGGGGTCATTTTGATGTAATTGGGCAAATTTATTATCCAAATAATTCAAGAGTTTAATTAGCTGTACATAAGTTTCTGCAAAAAGAAAATTGATTTTCATAAATTTTTGTGGCCTAAAAAACTCGATTATATTGTCAAAATAATCGATTATAATGGATTTTTAAATTTTGAAACTAATCGATTATAATTTCATAAAAACACCTTTGCATGGTTGCATGGGTCTTGAAAATTGATTTTATGGCGTACATTTTTTATAATCGATTATTTCCCATGAAATTCTGAAGCGAGATTAACCACATAGCAAGCCTCAATTCAATTAGGAACGATATGTAACAGGGATTGAATCTCAGCGCACGCGTTAATAGCATAAAATATATAGATTTTTATTATTTCAAATGGGCCAAATTGGCAATTTGTAAACCCCCATTACAGAAGAAAAAATGACCAGAGGTTAAGTATAGTATTAAATTTGAGCAACAACAAAATACCTTTAGAATGATAAAAAAATATTTGTCAGAAATTTCTTGCGAAAAAAGTCGAAATTTGTCCGGAGAAAAAACCACTCGAGCATGTAGATTCCGTCATTTCCTACAATAAACGGAACAAAAACATTGGGTTAAACGGTAAGCCAACAATGATTAGAGAGCAAGTTAATTTTTAGCGAGAAAAACTGAGCGCCTTTTTTTCTTTTTTGAGTTAAAAATTGTTCGGAAGACTTTAAAATGTGTCTAAAACGCCGAAAAACCTATTCAATAAAAAAGTTTGCGAAATTGGCAGGCAAATTGTAGGAAAAATCATCAAAATACAATTTCTGAACGCATTTTTGAAGTTTTTAACCTTTTAATTACTTAACACTCATTGGTACCAAATTTGGCAAAAAAGTTATAAATTTGGACGGCCAAAAATTGGTATCAAAAATAACCAAACTGGTCGTATCATGCAAAGCCCTGAATGTTCCGACTACATTATAGGGTCTATAGTGTAGTGATCGTTTTATAAAATGGATGTATTTTTTTAAATTAAAAAAAATTTTAAAGCTTTTTGATGTTTTTTTAAAGTAACCCCCTCAAACGCTTTTTGAAGTTCAACGTTATATATTTCGCAAATAGCAAAATGGCAGGATGTTCAGTTTAGAAAAATTTCTAAAACGGAATAGATCTCCCTTTAAACGCTAATATCACGAATATATCGCGCGTTATTTGTGCGTTATGCCTAACCCGGCAAAAATGGCAATCTTTAAAGCCTAATAACTTTACAAAACTGATAACAGGTGAAAAATCTCTGAAAATTTAAACTCAGGGCATTAATGCTTTTCGATGAGTTTATAATTTAGGGCGGCGAATAAACCAAACTCCTGCTCCATCGAAAGCCAGGAGACGGCAGATTAGTTCTCGCCTAAATTGTACGAAACTTTACTGTTGAAATTACTCGACGCAAGGCAAATTCTCTGACTGCACTCCCAAGTACCTGACCTATAAGACTTTACCAAACTCCTAAAAATTTGTTCCAGACTTTCACGGCGCGACTCATGTGCAGACTTTCCAGGCTCAAACTCTCGGCGTGACAATGCAATTTGGGTCTAAATCCGGATGAGGCGCGACCCTTAAAGTCTCAACATGAGTCTGGGACCTCGACCCGGGCAGTTAAATTTGGATTAAACAGATTTGATTATTTTGAAACTAAAAATGCACAAAAAGGAGAAATTTTTCCAGTTCATTCTAAAATTTTCACCACACGCGCAGTTTTAACATTAATTTGAGTGCAATGTTTGAATCAATAAGCTTGCTTCAAGTTAGTATATGGAAATGTATTTGAGCCAGAATGTTTTGCGGCGTACGATTGATGAAACGCGTAATAAAAAACTGCATAACTTGCTCGCATCAATTCTCTCGAGCTGGCTGTTTTCAAATTCCCATTCCCTTGCAAAAAAATAGACGCTCAAGTTGCTTTTAGCTTCGAGGTTTTGTTCATTTGAGTTGAAAGCAGCCGTATTGTTCTATATTCAAATATATTAACCCTAATGTATAGAAAGACATTAATCATCAGAAATTCGAAAACTTAAACTTCCGAAAAAGCGCAAGAAGATTTCTAACGTTGCTATTTCTGAAAGTTGCAAAAAATGCGCTTTATAACAGAAATATTCGTTTTTCTATCTTTAAAACATCTGTTTTTCAAAGTGACTGAATTAGTTTAAAAAACAGAAAGAATGAGAAAGAAAAAGGTTAAAAGAATGAGAAAATTATAATGAAGAACAACAGAATGAAAAAACGCAATTAATTTTTTCGTGACACTGGGCAAAATTTTTAAACAAAACTTCTAATAATTTGAGCAAGAACCAATAGGATTTTAATAGGATATCACACTTGATACCTTTCAAGGTTTCCTTGAGGTAGTCGAAATCGGCTGGAAAAAATTTAACCCAAAACTCTTACACCCCCTACAATTTATAACCCCGTAACAAGATAACCCCACAACAATTTAACCTCTTTTCGGCCGAGTATGCAATTGCATCATAAAAGAGTATAAAAGAATTGCTAAAGTAGACGAGCTCTGGCTGTATTTTGGATCTAATTAGATAAGAATTCTCGTCCCGAATCGAGAAGGCATATTCTCCCCTTCACTATGGAACAAAAGAGATGCGGCAATACCCGGGCCAGACCAACAAAGGCTGTAGAGAAATTGCATTATGGCATCCAGTCAGTTTTTAGTGGTTGTGGTTCACATCCCAGTATTTGGAAAGTAATCGCAAGTTTGACAAAAGACGCCTCCCATCAAAAACTTAATTTTTCTTACCTTCGAGCGGGCCCCAACTTACAAAAAACACAAATACCGATTCCTTTACGAAAAAGTGGAGAATGTTATGCAAGCTTACGAAGAGAAATCTGATTGGCAAATTTAAGCTTAACATTTGTTTCTCTGTTCTTTGTTCATATTTCTAAATTAAAACGTTGTTTGTCAATTTTTTTTGAGAAAAGACGGCTCCTTGCAGCCTACCGTACACGTAAAAAACGCATTGGCTTAACTCGCATATGGAAAATGCTGTCTCTAGCAATTTCATCTCGGGATGATTGCTCTTCTGGTGTGTTGGGACTTGGGGCTGGCAAACCATTTAGACATTGCATTGTATGCAGACAGTTAAAAAAAATAATGACAAATGGTTCAAAAAATTAGATGTTTACAAAAAGATCGGCATTTGGAAAAAAACTGAGATTAGATCAATCAAAGTTTCGGTCACAACCAGTTTACATTCATTAGTTCAATTAAATTCGGCCAATTAATCTATTTTTAGCAAAAATATTTTCAAGATCAAATTCAATTTAGGAGATACCTAATCAATTTTGTTTAATAATTTGAATCATGCTGATCGGATTAGTTTTCAAATTAAAGTCTAGACTGTCGGCAAGGTCATTTCTGTTCAAATCTAAACCGCATTTAGCAGCTTGCATGTTATTTCGTTTTCTTTTGCGAAATTTTTTGCAACTATAGATTTGATGTTTACCGACGCTATGGTTCCGAATTCCTTTCAAGTTAGTTTCACTTTGATTCCATCAATTGGAATTAAAAAGAGGTTAAATTTTGGGGTTATCTAATTCTGGGGTTGTATTCAGAGGAGTTAAGAAAAAGGGGTTAAAAAATGCGGGATGAAAAGCTTGGGAACCCTATTTCACTAACAAGTAATTTACAAGTAAATTTACTTACTTACTTACTTACGAGTATTTTTCTTACTAGAAAGCAATTCTGACCAACTCACCGCTAATTTACTTCTTTGAAGGGTTGAAATGCTGTAGGTACTATGAAGAGGATAATTTACAAGATCCGATAACAAAATAGCGGTCCTTTTACTTAAGAAGCATTTCTATATTACCAAAAAAACTCACCCTTGAAGCTCTACCGAAAATTTTCAATTAGTTCAAATTTGACTTCGGTAACACCAAAGTTTTGTATTGATCGAAGAAATTTAAAATGTCTCTGCTAAGTGCACAACGAGTGCTTAACTCCTGTTTCAATATTTGAAGTGCGAGCAGATATGGACAAATTGTGGCACCTGAATTAAGTTTGCTGACAGATTATGATTTAGATTTATTTACAACGATCTTGACTTACAGTCGGGTCTCAAAGAAGAAAAAACTTTTCGAAGTTTAAATAGACGCTTCAATATCAAATAGCGTCTAGTCTATGTTTTGATTAAATTCAGTTTAAAGAAAAAGCTAAAGCGTTATTTTGTACTTGAAATCCTGAAGCAGAAACGACGATATATCAATCTACAAAGCACATATTGCAAAAAACAATCTCGCAGTGGACGAAAAATGCCAAAAAACGAAATTTTAAGCAAACAAAGTTTTTGCACCTCTTCAGCAGTATGTCATGCGAAAATTATGCTGTTCAAAGATTATGCGAAGTGACCATTATGCCAAAACTTCAACTAGAAGTAGCATATCTTCATCGTATTCTTGTGGGAAGAATGTTGTATGTCCCTTCATCAAAATTTACTGGGCTTTGTTTGATGACATCTTTGGAGAATTTGTTTTGGTGAGATAAGAATCTGAGTCAAACTGACCGCTATGATCGATTGCACATTTTGTCTCAACGGGATTGCATAATTCCAGATCTTACTCTAAGACAAAAGAAAACAGTTAAATGCTCAAAAATTGAAAGAAAACAAAGAAACAACCCACATCAACATCTCTCTAAGTCAAGGTATATACATACATGCTACAGTGTTGATTTAAATTATCCGGACAAAAAGAACAAAACTAAATCTCATTCCCGTACCCAGGGAATTTTCTGAGCAAGATGTGAAATTCTTTATTTCTTACATAAGTTGATACTCAGATCTGAAATTCTTTATTTCAGATCTTGATAAGAGTTTACAAATTTCAGATCTGAAATTTGGATCTGAAATGGAAAATTTCAGATCTGAAATAACCTTGGAAAACAAAATTTCAGATCTGAAATTAGATCTGAGACATCCTTTGTTAAATTATAGTTTATGCATTTCGAGCAACATTCGAGCAACATTTCGAGCAACATTTCGAGCAACATGTATTTCGAAAAACATGGAGTTTTTATTTTTTTATTGTTCTACAATACACAATATGTTTAGGTTGACTAGCGGTCAGAAAAATTACCGAATATGTTCACAAATTGTTTTTTTTTCGAACTGAATTTCTTGTTCAAATGAGTTTAAAAGTTTTCAAAAACTGTTACAAGACCTGTAACATTTTTGATTCTCATGCGCTACTTATGCGTTTCCAATCTTTATCTGATGCTTGGTGAAGCATACTTCGGCAGTCTCCAACTGAGACTTTGCTGAGTACCTATTAGTAGCTAGAAGAAGCTAAAAAAATTCACTAGTAGCAAAAATTGATTCCGAATCATTGATTTCTTAGATCTGAAATAACCAAGAAAAACTAAATTTCAGTTCTGAAATTAGATCTGAAATAAATTGTTTCAGATCTGAAATAACCCAGAAAAAGAAAACTTCAGACCTGAAATTAGATCTGAAATAACCAATCCTTAAAGTATCCAAGCGTTATTTAAACATTTCACAACCTATTTCAGATCTGAAGTTTAGATCTGAAAAAGATTATTCAACATCTGTTTTAAAAAATTTACTGGGTACGGGTTTCGATAAAAATAAGTAGTAATTTCGCAACAGTTTTTCAGGCACCAGGGAATTAATTCGCTATCAGAGGGTCGCGAGGCCCGAGGATAGTCATTTAATTTCACGATTGCGTGAAAAAACAATTGCGAGAATGCTTTAGTCAACGGAAAACTTATGTGTTCATGCTTGTTTTCACATGCTTAAACAGTTTTTTCTCACTTTAAATCATGTTTTCAATATACCTTTACAGCTCACCTTCGAGCGTGCCTGCATTCAAATTTGGGTATAAGTAATTGATTATAAGATTTTTAGAATTATAATCGATTATAGTTCATACAAAAAAACTTTTTAAGCCATTTATAATAGATTATAAATTAATTAACACACTGTAAAAAATTTACCTGAAACAGAAGTTTCAAAGAGATCCTTTATACTTTCATGTTAGTTGAAAGGCTCCCGCGGTAAGTGTAACATGAATTTTCCAAATGAAACAAAAAAATAGAGTAATGCGCTGATATTTTGCTTGTGAAAAAACTTAAAATGTGCCTCATGTAACATTTCTAATGGAGAAAATTTTTAAAAAATGTTATATGTTGAAACAATTTGAAAAAATTAAAAACAACTTTCTCATTTTTCACATAAACCAACGTCGCTTAAAAGCATAAAATATAAGCAATTAAAATGCAAAATCGAAGATAAAATGGACAAACAAAAAAGATGATGATAAATTATCATCGATTAATTAAATTTTTTGTGCAAAAAATTTGATCTAAAAATTGAGATAGAAATAATAGATTATAAATCATAAAAATCGTATTGAAAAGTAGTTGAATTAATAAATGATTATAATCAATCAAAATGTAATAAAATTGATTAAACATTAATTTCAAAGGAGAGATTATAATTTCATTTCAAAATTGATTTTAATATTGATTATTTATTGATTGAAAAAAAATTTTCTCAATTTTAATGAGACTGGTACTAAACTCATAAAATTGTTGATTATTAAAGCTTGAAACTGGATGCGGGTGCATTAAAAAAATTTCATCCCGATTGAACGCACGCTGAAGATTGAATTGTTTTGTTCATACAATAAATTTCATATACTGCTTTTTTCATGAACTGCGAATGACGACACGCTAGTTGACTTAACATATTTTATTGTCTAAAATAATTTCCTCGCAAACAAGGAAATATGTTAAACAGTGCTGGTATAAACTATCTGACAAAAATAAACAAAATTGAACTTTAAAAAGTGTTTTTCTCAAAATGGGTTAATTTTAGAGAAAAGCTGATGACGACAAATTTTGCCCTAAATTTGAGAAGAAGAAAAATGGAGTATTTTTTGCGAAAGTCGGGTTCAAATGTTTAACCAAAATTTGCTAGTTTTTCACTTTTTCAATCAATCAGAGTTTTCGCCAAACTTTTAGGGTTAATTGTAAAAAAAAACTTTTTCAAAGTCAGCCTCTAATGTAGCACCACAAAGTTTAGAAAGGATATAGTCTTCTAAATTTGTATAACAAACTTTACTTTCCTTTGATAGCCAATAAAGATTTTTGACAATTTTTAAACATTTTTAAACAATAAACAATTTTTAAACATTTTTATCCTTCTCAAACTTTGTGGAGCTACATTGAAAATATTTTGTCAGCAATTGACCCTGTAATTTTTGATTGATCAAAAAAAGACAAAATTATCCATTTTTGAGTAACTTTTGGACCAAATTTTGCAATTTAAATTATACCATATTGATTCTAGCAAAATTTGTTTTTATCATATTTAGTGCAAAACACACCCAATTTGAGAAACAGTGAAATCAGCACTGTAATTACATATTTCGTTGTTTGCCAGTCAAATTAATTTAGGCAAAATAACATGCTGATTCTAATTGAATTGAGAAATAATCATTTATGGAGTGTTAACCGCAGGGCTAGTTTACGAGGTCAACGGGCAGATCCCAGCTCATAAGTTAACCTCCTTTTTCAAAAAATTGGATGCTTTTTTCGTTTGCGCAGATTTAGTGGAGCAAAAACACCCGCTAGAACTCGAAACCTTGACCACCCAAAAATTTTTGTCATTCGAAATATTTTACGATATTCATTTTTGGTCGACAAGCAGTACACTTTTTTAAAGCGCTTTTAGCACCAATGTGTATCAAATTTAGGGGAAAGAAGGCGCTGAAAAAAGAAAAACTTTCTGAAAATGGCTAAAAGTGGTTTTAATTGAGAGGCTCAATGAAAAATGTCTCTGGATCTAATCGGTCAAGAAAGTGCAACAAGTGTTTTTAAGTGAATTGTTAAAGCAAAAACTAAAGTATTCAAAGTTTGTCTGGAAAAAAAAACAAAGAGCACAAAATTTCCATCACTTCCTTCGAAAGTCGGAGCAACAATCAGTTAATTCTAATTTTCATGACACTCAAGCTTTAAATCTGTGATTACAAATATTTGATTAGAGACACTATTGTGTAGGCCGCTATCAAGCCTTTTTAATTTTTTGCTTTGAGAAGGATGTTTATGGAGAAACTTTGTAAATATAAAACAAAATCTTCCCCTCTTAAAATCAATTTCACTAAATCAAAATAGCTTATAAAACGACTTTTTTTCCCTTTTTAAAAAAAAAATTTAAAGAAGAAACAAACAACGAAGATAACTGGTTGCTGAGCAAGTAGCAGAGATAGCTCCGAGAACTTTCATTCAGAAAATAACAAGAAAAACAAAAATAAGAAAAACGTAAAAATCTCGTGAATTAATCTTAATTGACAAACGTTGTCTTTGCAAAATGAAAAATAAACAAAAATCAATATAGTAACAGAAAATTTTTTGCATAGAAAGCGCCGAAAAAAACTTTAAAAATTTGATTGTTTTAATAGGATTGTTTTTCATTAGCCAAATAAAGCAACTTTAGAAAAAAAAGGTTGCTCGACCATTTAACTAACTTCAACTTTGTTTTTCGTGGCACAGGGGAAAATGTTGTAAACTTTTGACAAGTCAACAAACGTCAGAAAAGTTAACATCAACTGAGACAACACAAGAAAAGTCAAACGAGGTGACGATAGTAAAAGATAGAATTGAAACATCAAACAGAGGAAAATTTAAAGAGCAACAAGGGGTATCCTACAATTTGATACCGTACAATTTAACACCGTACATTTTAACACGTAGTCTTTTCACTACAAAGCAATTTAAATCCACAACAATTTAACTCCTTTTTTCCAGTTTAACACCGTACATTTTCACATCTAATCTTTTTTAGCTGTAAAATTAATGCTGTATGAGCTCCTTGTCCTAACTCTTATCACACTAAAGCTAATCCTGCAATTAATGCACGCACCATAATGAAAAACTTGGTTTATCTTAAGCGTTCATGCTAAAATGAGGCTTCCTAAATTACTTAGGACTCTTATCGACAAGTTCGTAATTTACTTTCACTTAGATTTTTCCTTAAACCATTAAGATCAAAAAAATTACTTGCTTGTGCATTTAGACAAAAATAAAATTCTAACAATCACTTTAAATTTTAGTCATATGACGAACAAACGGAAACACAATAAACACATTATGATTGGCTCTTCTTTCGAATTCACAGCTTGATCTAAAAACAAGCCAATTCTTATCGCGCCCGGTCACGAATTTTATTTCAAGCAAAAAATAAGTTAAACGAAAACTGGATTTGCTCAAATTATCAAATAAATACATGTCGAGCAACTGCCATTACAGAAAATGACGAAACAATTGAGACGCGTGGAGAGCTTAACCATAACTTTTTAGCGACAAAATTGGATGCCCAAAATAACCTAAAGCAATTAAAAGATCTCAGCGAGAGATTTACCTCGACTGTCGCAGTTGCCAGTGCGGTTTTGCCAGTTACAAACAATTTGACCATTCAGTTTGCCCTCCCAAGGAAAGGCAAACCGATCCGAACGGCTGCGAGATGTAAATACGCCGCCCATCCCCGTTGCGCAAAATGTCGAGATCCCAGAAAAAATTTATCCTGTATGACAGTGGATCAAATGATCACAAGCGAATCATTTTTTGCGGCGACCCCCAAAATGCTAAGAGTTCTGGAGAAGTCATCTTTCTGGTTAGCCGATGAAACTTATAAAATTGCTCCAAAAAGTTTTATCAGCTATATTCAATTCATGTTTTTGTATCTGGTATTGCGCCAGCTTGCATTTACGCCTTCCTTCCTCACAAAACCAAAAAAAAAAACTACAATCGCTTTTTTCAGGCTTTATTTGATTGAGCACCCAACTGCTGGCATGAATAAAATTTGCTGGATTTTGAGCAAGCTGCTCTTCAGTCTTTCCAAAAAACGTTCCCCGAAGCACATTTATCGGTTTGTTTTTCCATCTCTCCGAGAGTGACATGAGAAAAATTAATGAGTTGGGTCTGAAAGTGACCTTCGAAATTAATCACGATTTAGCGCTGGCTTTAAAAATGCTGCATTTGCTTGCAGTTGAAAAAAAAATTGGCGATTCCTATGATATGGTTGGTCAGGAAACTCAGAGTGTCTGCGACAGAAATTGTTTACAACCCGAAAAAAAAATGAGAAAATTGACGAGTTGTGTCAGTACTTCGGCTCTACTTATTTAAAAAGCTTGGTGCCAAACCGTGAAGTTTTTTTCCTACCCTCTCTTTGGACCAAGCGAGATGCGGCCGTCAGTGGCATTGCTCAAATAACAAATGATGTCGAAGGATGGCATTTCTGGATCAAATCCTATTTCAGCGGAGCCCACCCAAACAATTGGAAGCCTAGTGGGCAGCCTGCAAAAAGACGCTTCCGTACAAAAACTAAATTTTTTGATGCACCGAGTGGCCATAAGTTCACAAAAAAAATGAAACAAAAAGTATCGAGTAGTCAATGAAAGAGTACAAAACATAATGTCCGTTTACGAAGACAAAACTGATTTGTACTTTTTCCGAGCAATATCTAGTTTGTAGTAAGCCATTGTAAATTTTGCCTTATTTTTGTTTATTCTTCCGTATTATTAACATTCAATTTTAAATCCTTTTTAAACTTTTGTCAGCTTTTTTTGAAAAGACGTTTCCTTCAAGACTCCCGGAAACGTAACTAAATGAAAGGAGCTGACTCGTGCCTTAGCAATATTATCCCAGGACGATCGTCCTTATTTTCGGGATGCTAGGTTGGGACTAGGGGCTGGCAAACTCTTTAGCTATGCGTTTATGTGCCAACAGTTCAGAAAAAGCTGACAAAGCAATCAGGTTCTCTGTGGTATTAAAGTCTCAGTTATACGCCTTATCTAGAAATCAGTGCATGTTTTCGAGTTTGTGAGAAGTTAGTGATGGTTTCAAGTGCTCTAAACCCTCGATAACTACATGATTTTGTGATAAGCTCTGGATTCAAACAAAATGTCTTAAGCTGACAGGTTACAAAGAAGCTACCACTAGACCACCGGTTCTGGAGACAAAATTTCATAAAAACTGTATATGTCGGAAAGCTGAAAGCTGTTAGGTGGCTGGAAAAAAACTTGAAAAGTTTTGTCAAAATTGTCCCAGATCTCTGTTGAAGTTTTACTTTCAGAACCCTAAAAAATTCCAAACAAAAACAGACTCATTTTAAATGAGCGTCAGTGCTTATAGGCATGAAGTAGCAGACAAAAATAACAAAATGATATTTTTTCAAATATACAAATATGCGCGACAAAATAGCATCTTTTATACATCCGTATTTGTTTGTTGTTGCTTTAAGCTACTATCGTCAGTCAAAAATAAATCAGAAAACGCAATATAAATCTAAATATACTAAGCCATTAAAATATAAATCAGTTTGGAATGCGAAATGGAAGTTTAATAGCGCGCAAGATGAGTCGGAATAACCCTTGATTGATTCCAGATTTCAACACATTATAGTAAACACATTTACGCCCCAACTTTAGCTTAAGATCTTTTTGGTTTTTTAACTATCTGTGATATCACTAATTTTTTTTTGCAAAACGTTTTTTATATACAACAAATACTAATCAATTGACTTTAAAAGCATCTTTATAGAAAGTTACTGGTACAATTTTTGAAGTTGGAGCTTAAATAAGTTTATCTTAAACAACATTTTAATTGGCGCAAATAAACTAGAACGTATGCCTCTTTAAAGATTAGTTTTTGATGAATGCCATTTTTTAGTTCGCGTTAGCCGTGAGTAAACTTTTAGATTGCGTAAATTTTTAGTGAGCATATCTTCCGTTTCAATGTGGGGGATCTTTTGAACCATGGAAGTTTTTACCCAGAAAGCGGCATACGTTCTCATCTAACTTGGCCTTTCGCAGCAGTGTGTAGAGTGTTGTTATTGTTTGAGTATAAGGAGCAGTGTCTGCTTTATCTCATGGTCATCATTTTGACGAACTCCTCGTAGTTGATCTCCCCATCCCCGTCTATGTCTGCCTCCTGGATCATCTCGTCCACCTCCTCGTCTGTTAACTTCTCCCCCAGAGTCGTCATCACAGTCCTAAGCAAACACTTCACTATTATACTGTAACTTAACATAAAGAAGTCGACCTGTAAGTGGAACACGCCTCGATCGAATGTTCAGCTTTGCATGATTACATTCATTTCTGTTGAACTCAAAACTAGTTTCCCATCCGCTCTGAAAAATAGGTTAGATAAAAACATTTAAATATTTATAAATATATATATAGAAGCGGATTCAGGGGGGGGTGGAGCGGACGCCTTTTTTTCTCAGTGACTCGACCCCTTGCCGACCCAAAGGTTCCCCCTTTGTTATCCCACTATTTTGAGATATCCATTTTAACTGACGGACCGTAAAATTTTTCTAAAGGCGCCTTTGGCGCCAATATTTACTAATTTTGAGGAAAGCGTGCGCCAAAAAACGCAATTTTTTGGTCAAAAAGTTCCAAAAAGTGCATAAAAACGCTCCGCATCCAAGTTTAGGCATAAGTGATCAATTATAACGGAATATTATGATGATTTGTTGACAATTATAATTGATTATAATTACCAAAATTAGGTGTTTGAAGGTTTGATAATTGATTATAATCGTGATATTTTGCCGAAATTTTGTCAATTCAAAACTGTATTCGAATTATATCTTATGGTTTATTACTTTTGTGTCAATAAGAAAATCTCTAAAAGAGATATCACTTGAACACTTTGGTTCATCTGAACACAAAGTTTTACTACGAAACAAAAATTTCATAGAGATCCTTTCATATGAGTGGAAAGGTTCCCGCGGTAAATGAAAAATAAATTTTCCGAATCAATCATGAAATTAAATCCTTTTGATGATGTTTTGGTGTTTAAGAAAGCTTAAAATATGCATTACAAAACAACTATAATGGGGAAGAAATGAAAAAAAAAACTTCCAAATTTTATTTAATTGGAAAACTTTTTACAAAAATTTCTCATTTTCCATAGGAACCAACGTCTACAAAAAAGCATAAAATATAAGCAAGTTAGATGCAACTTCGAAGACAAAATGGACAAACAAAAGGGAATATAATCAATCATAATCGATTATAATAGATTTTTGTGCAAAAATAAAGAACTAGAAATTTGAACAAAAATAATGGATTATAATCAATTATAATTGATTATAATTGTATCAAAAAATAAACGAATAAATAATCGATTATAATCGATTATAATGGATTTTAATTAATTATAATTTGACTTTAAAAAGAGAGATAATAATCAATTACTAATTGATTAAAATCGATTGTTTCTCAATTTTAGTAAGACTGGTGCTAAAATCGTAATATAATCGATTATTAACGCGTGAAACTGGATGCGGGGCCTTATTTGGCCTGTTTTTATTTCTCAAAATTTAGCATTCGGCGCAGAAAATTGTCCAAAACTGGGTCTTTTCAGTGCTTTGGGAGAGCTCGGAAAATAATTTAGTCAACCTACAAAAAACGTCAGCAAAATTTTAGAAACCTTTATCTAACCGATTAGATAAAGGTATTTATCTAACCCCTTTTCAGAGCGAAAGGGAATAAAATACTAAATTCAACAGAAATGTAAGCTTGCAAAGTTAAACGTTCGATCGAGGCGTGTTCCACTTATACTTCGACATATATTTCGACTTTTTTCTCTCAATACCGTAGCTCTGCGGCGGATATGGTCCCTGAGCCGTCTTTGTCGAATACTCGGAAGGCATCTCGGATCTCCTGCTCAATGTCGTCACTGCTCATGCGCCTCGCCATCATAATAAGAAACTCTTTGAACTCCAACGTACCATTGCCTATTATTACATAACACTGATTAAGAAAAACTGATTAAGTATTTATCATTATGTAAATATTATGTAATATATGTACCGTCTTCGTCCACTTCGTTGATCATGTCTGTAAGTTCTTGTTCTGTCGGGTTTTGACCCAGAGATCGCATCACAATGCCTGTTAAAGCACAATTTATTAGCAAAGATTTGGCAATATAGACAGTTTTGCTTTAAATATCTCACCAATGTAGACCCACTAGTTTTTAGCGATCGTTGCCTCTTTTCAATTCTCGTTGACAATTTTATTAAGTCATGATTCAAAACAAAACTCTGCAAAATTTTCCAAAACATTTTCATCCCACAAAAGTCGCTTTGCTACAAAAATTTCCCACAATTCATTTTAGTTTTCATTTAGCTTTGTCTTTTTCAGATTTTAACACCAAATTGAATGATAATGATTTAATATCAGTCTTACCAAGTTCTTTGGTGGATATTGTACCATCTCCATCTTTGTCGAACAGTTTGAAAGCCTCTTTGAACTCTCCCACCTCTTCCTCAGTCAAGTGACAGAGTTCCGGATGGTCGGAATATTCGTGCTCATCACCCATTGCCAGCATCATCATCCTTCGTAACCTCTCTCACTTAGTACTCAAGTTTCTGAGAGGTCAATTAAGACACTGAAGGCAAAAAATTGGTCAACCAGGGTTACACGAGGTCAAAGAGGTCGTTGATGATCAGATTTTTTGGGCAAAAGGTAGGCAAGCGGAGGTGTATCCAAATATTCGAAAGGTAACTGTCTGAGGTCAACCAATGACTGGTGAGTTTGTGGGGAAACCACGTTTTACATTAAGGAGGAGGGTCACTGAGAAGGCATCCAATGTAATCTTCAGAAAGTAACCTTCAGACGCAGTTTAGAGGATTTTTTGGCAGTTTTCGCAATGATACTTCCTAAATGACAGTAAAATGAACAAATTTCTCAGACAAAAATAACCTCAATTTCAATATTTGAAATATTCAGCCACTGTAAATATTACCAGCCAAGTTCCAATCTCAAATTAGGAATTTATAAATGTGTAAATATGGAGGCAAGTTTGGAGTTTAAGTTTTTAGTGTGATGAAATTTCAAAACCGACAGGCTCGAGAGAACCCTAAAATTATACCTGCTTTAAGAATAGTGCCCCATCCTAAGCCCGATTAAGAGCTTTATGGGTTGAAATTGGAAAATTAAAACGGAACTAGACTTCGTGCGCCTGTATGACAATATAAGAGTAATATCAGGCAAAAATAAGGAGGGAAAAGATATTCGTTCATCAATTTTGCAATTGATCTCCTGTAAAGTGCATCCGGTCCAATTCATTCGATCAAACAGGATATTAAATCAAAAGAAGGCAAATATACACAAAATGAACTTGATGTGATGAAAATCTTGGAGAAGCAAAAAGACGACAGAAAGGTCAGATCCCTTGAATATAATGTAAATGTATTACGGTATCAACAAAAAATTGGCGCTTAAAATTTAATGAGTTGTATCATTTATTCAAAGGAAAAACGACGGAAAAATTGAAAATTTGGAGAAGAAACGCGGAGCCAGTCAGTCAGACTAGTGGAAAAACAGATGTTTATTTCTTGCTAAAATCAGAAAGCAAAATAACATGTTGTCCCGACTTTCGTAACGAAAGTAACGGAATATTTGTGCTCGGGGTGGAATTTCTTTTCTTCAGACAAATTTCGACTTTTTAAATAGCCATTTTTGACGGATTTTTTTTAGATATCACTCAAAAGGTATTGTTGTCGTGAGCTTAAATTTGAAAAGATATTTCACTTGTAATCATTTTTCACAAAGTAATGGAGGTTTAAAGATTGCCAATCCGGCCAATTTGGGACAATTAACGGGCGATATATTTAGCGCTCTTAACGCAAAAGCAGAGATTTAATCCGTCTTAGAAATTGTTCCAATTGGTTTGAGGACGCTTATTTGCCAAATTGATTTGTTAATGGGAGCGAAGAGCGAAATCTATCAGTTTGTTCTTTATGTAGCGTGTGGGGGGATGATTTTCACAAAAATCTCAATTTAAAAAAAAAGTTCATTTCATTTTATTATTTTTAATTTTTTTCATGTTATTACTACTCAATAAAGCTTACATCGTATAACATTTTTAATCGTAAAATTATTTAAGAAAACAGACACACACGCACACACACACACACACACACACACACACACACATATATATATATATATATATATATATTTATATATATATATATATATATATATATATATATATATATACATGTGTGTGTGTTTTCTTAATTTTTTTAACGCTTAAAATATGTTATACGATTTAAGTTTTATTGAGTAGTAATAACATGAAAAAAATTAAAAGAAACAAAATGAAATGAATTTTTCGTTAAAATTGAGATTTTTGTGAAAATCATCTACCCACACGCCACATAAAGCACAATATATATAGAAAAATCTTAAGATTCGTCACCAAAAATGGATGTCTCAAAACAGTTTTAAAAAAGGACCTTTTGGGTCAGCAGGGGGTCGAGCACCCCTCCTCAGGGACTCATTACCGCGACAACTTGCAAGAAGAGACAACTCGCTACAAACAACAACTCGCAAAAATTAAGGAAAGTGACAACTCGCAAGTTTTTGAAGCTAATTGAAAACTTTAAGTTCTTGGTTTAAGGTCGCCGGTGGGTGCTATGCGCGCATCTTCGCTTCGTGGCGATAACCGGCTCTAAGTTTTGTATAAAGTCCTACCCTCTATTGGCAAGGTTGCAACACGTTGTCGCAACTGCAGCGGTGAGTATATTGCGAGTTGTCTTTTAATGCGTTTTGTCTTTTATTGCGAGTTGTCTTTTATTGCGAGTTATTACAGTACGCATGGAATCGACCCCCTGCTGACCCAAGGGGTCCCCCTTTGTACTTTTTGAGACATCCATTTTTGGTGAGGGGCCCTAAAATTTTTCTAATGGCTCCTTTTTTTAGACTATGGTCTGAACTTTCTGTGGTACTTGCACAGCAAACAGCTACTCTAGTTTCTATCTGTCCATAGTCCGAGAAAACCACGCAGAAACAAATTCTTAGCTTTCAATTTCTGCTATTCGCCAGGAGACATTTTTTTGCGAGTTTTTTTTTCAAATCGATAGCTAATAATCCGAAATGTTTTCTGTCCAAATTGGAATTGAATGTGGCCGTTGTTTGTAATTTCTTTGTTTTAGTTTTTTATTGAAGGCTTTAGTTGTTGAGGCCACCCCCTAGGCGTGGGAAGGAACAATGGTTTAGATGAATGTTTTTTCACCATAATTTGATACCATAAACAATTTTTTTTTGATCGGAGCTTTTTCATTAAAAAAATTGTGAGCCAATTTTTGTTGACAATGAGTTAAAATTGATCTACACTGTGGAGAAAAAGCCAAAGCTAGGCTGAGATATGTCGAAACAGCAATTCGATGCCTTTTTTGAGAAATAACTTGATTTAGATTTCGTGATAGGGCTTTTTATCAGTTCAGATAGCGCAGTTAACCAATTTCAAACAAAATTCGCACGCTTGAAACTATCTAGCGTATCTTTTAAAAACGTACGAAAAAACGTACCAAAAGATCTAAGTAGCCTAAAAAACGTTCTTTGACCATTTAAAGTGGCCAATCTGCGCTGCTCGTATTTTCTGTTGCCCCTTCTAAGTCAATTTATAAGACTGAATTAAATGCGATAATAGTTTCTTGCCAAGTCCTGCTTCGCATCGACTCTATATCGACAGAATTTTACCGTTTTTTTTTCATTTCGACTTAATCTTGAACATAACAATAAGACTCGTAGAAGATCGATGTATAAAAATTGCTGAAAATACAGTGAATTTTGTGATCGATTTAACAATGACAGAAATCACGAGTCCAAATATTATAGCCAATGCAAGTAAAGAGGTTTTTTGAAAATGTCGGTCAGGTTTTGCTATGTTCTGGTGCAAATCTGACACAACTTAAAGCTTTAAGCTCCCGGTAAAAATCTGATGGCAGAAACGTTTTTACCACTGATGTTCTAGTATGCGATTTTTGAGACGATTCTTGAGGTGTTACTGAAGTCGATCGAAAAATATGTTAAATTTTTTTAATCGAATTGTAATCGAAATTTAATCTAGATTGAAAGTCACTAGAGAAAGGAGACACAAAAAGAAAGCCACATGTTATATGCAGATTCAATAAAAACTGAGAATTTGAATAAGCTTTTTCGACGTTGTCTGTTTGTGGAATTGAGCAAATAATTTTTACCGTGTTTCTTAGAGTCAAATTCAGCTATAGAGTAATTAAAGGGGGTCTCTGAGGTATCCCAGGCTAATGGGACTTCAGGCCTAATTTTTGAAAACTATTTCAAGATGTCCTAATTTAAGAAAACTTGGAAGAAACTGAAAAAATTTAGGCTTGAAGTCCCGATCTTTGGCATTCGGCTTCATGTGCTAATCTCAAACATAACAATCAAATGAGCTCGAGTTATTCATAGAAAATCATATAAAACATATAAAAGATTTCGACAGATGATGTCAGTTATGAAGGATGAAAAGTGTACTATTAAGTAAAGTCAACTTCAGATGACGACTTGAAGGTCAAAACTTTTAGGACATGCGGGAAACTCAACGTCGTGTAAATATACAAATAAATCATACACTCACAGAATTGGGCAGCGCTAAATGGGCAATGGGCCCATCGAGATGATGAAAACTTCGAGTGTTTTTCTTCCGCTTTTTTCATGGCCAATTTATATTTTGTTTTTCTAATTTTCTTCTGACGGTACAAGAAGTGCGTTAGATAAAGTTTTCCGGGCTGACTGTTGCAAAAAAGATTTTAAATCTGTCCTTTTAAGAGCTGAACGCCTTAATGTCTGAATTCCAATCCAAATCCCTGAATGGGATATTTTGTCAGGTGGATAATAATAGCTCTTAGAATAAATTATCCTGCCACCGTATATGATAGCTTTAACAATGTTGTTACAAGTTAAATGCAATTCTCAAATTAAATGTAATATGATAAAATTTTACGTTGGTTTATTTGTAAGTTGATATTTCTCTAAAAAACTGTAATATTTAAAAGCTAGGTCAAAACATCATGGTTTAAGCGCAATATTTCAATGGATAAAATCACCTGTCATATTGATGAAATTTAGAACTTTTGTTAAGCCTGAAAGCCGTTTAAATTAATCCTGAAAAAGTGACCCCGAAAAACCAATGAAAATATGGCCTGTCATTTACAGACTAGATTATTAAAAAAAAAGAACCATTGGTGTCAAAACAAGTACATTTTCTGAATTTAATGATGAAATTTAAAAACATCCTTTCAATGTTTCAAAAGAAGATTGGTATGCAAAAATGGAACAGTTCACTGTTTAAGCGATTATTATTCTTTCAAATCAACCCATCTAAATCTCCAAGTGTTTATAACACAAGGGTTGACTTCTGAAAAGGATCAATTTTCTGATCTCTTTTGAAACACCACAGAGACATGCTTCGAGGTTATCAGCCGAAATGCTTTTCAGGCACTGTAGAAGGTTTTGAATTACGTAAACTGAGCCCTAACTGAAATTAACACACGTTTGCACAAAAGATGTGTATAGAAACGCTTTAGTTGCAGAACAAAAATAAATGACATGGAGCCAAATAGATGACCATTTATAACAAATAGTTTCGGAATAAAAATAAATGACATGGAACCGAATAGAGGACCATTCAGTAGTTGACAGATCGAAACTCGAACAATTGGTGACAAATTCATTACAAGGTACAAAACTTGTAGAAATTAATTGTTCAATTCTTTCTTAATAGGGAGGGTTGATTCGTTACAAGTTACAATAGGGGTTGAATTATAAGATCCGTCACATTAGATGTTGTAGAAACGAAAGTGATAGAGAATTACAAATAGCGAGATAGTAGCATCTTGAGTTAGGACTG